GGTTTGTGAGTGCACATAAAATTCGGCGTCGTGCTTATCCTGGAGGGCGACAGCTTCTAGTCTACTGCATCGGGAGGTAGCGCGGAATCGTTTTTTAGGTCAGTGGCGCGCGGAATTGTCTTTTAGATTGTTATACTAATAAAACAGAAATTACTTATCTCTTAATGCGTGAACCAAACTGACAGTAGCCGTGTCGTGGAGAACCACTAACCTAAAAAACGATTCTGCACTACCTCCCGGTGCAGTAGACTAGAAGCGGTTGCCCTCCACGATAAGCACAGCACCGGAGTTTATGTGCACTCACAAACCCGACTAGAATTCAGAATACTTGCCTAGAAACTGAAGAATAGTGTTTAGCATGTTTTAGAAGAGAGAAGATTGGAATTGTTGTTGTAGTGATGACTGATTAGAGTAATGGTATTTTAGGGAAAAACAACTCATGGTAGCCATATGAATGTGTCTAGGTTCATTTAGCCAAATGACTAGATACGTCACAAGCACAAAGGTGTCTAGGTTCGTTCAAACCAGGTGACTGGATACGTTACAAACACAAAGGTGTCTAGGTTCGCTCAACTAAGTGTCTAGGTTCGTTACCTCTCTTTTCTTGTTTTTTCATCAAGAATTTCTAACAATTGTTATACAAATAAAACAGAAATTACTTATCTCTTGATGCGTGAACCAAACTGACAGTAGCCATGTCGTGGAGAACCACTGACCTAAAAGACGATTTCGCGCTACCTCCCGGTGCAGTAGACTAGAAGCGGTCTTTCCAAAAAGAAGTCACTGTAAAATTTGTGTGTTTGCAAGAAAAGCACATCTCCGTCGTATGGGTGGAATGCCAACAAGTTGAGAGGATCTACATAATGGTACTGCAAAAGGCAAGTCTAAAAGGCGAACCTTATGCACCAATCTCCACCACCACTTACCATCTCGTTCTCGTATTCTCAAGTTGCCACAATTGCTAAGAGGAAAGTGTAACAAGGACTAGGGGAAGTATTCTTTTGTTGTGTGGCCATATGCATCACTACGAGGTGTGCCTTGTTTAGTTCGTATCCCAACAAGGTCTTTCCAGGGGTAATAGTGTAAAAGTTGATGCCAACACGGAGCAAATCCTAATCATCAGGAAATTGTATGGTCTGGTATGGGTCTAAGCTTGAGAGATTAATCTAGGGAGAACAATCTTTCTTTGCACTCTAACTTTGGTAATCATCTTGCGTGAAACATTGCATAAGGAGATGGGCTTAAATTCCCTAGCAGTTTAAGGAGCATCAACTTTCAAAATAAGAACAAGAAAGGTGTCATTTAGAGATTCAGGCAGCCCCTTTCCAATTAAAACATTGAGAACCATAAAACAAAAGCTCACTCAACTCGTACTCCCCATGGAAACCCTCAGTCTCATCAGCATCCTCACCGGACTCAACAGAGAAAATGAAGCACAAGGCAATAGGGGGTAAGCACTTTTTTAGGCCTAGGTAAGGCATTTTTAATAAGGCGCACCAGAGGCGCACATGAAGCAATTTTCTGCCAAATTTTTTAACTGTTTATATAGTGCTCCTCACTTCAAAGAGGGACATTGAGGCGCGCCTTACGTGCTCCTAGGCGCTACATAGCCCTTGTCGCTTCAGCGCGCATTGAGCTTTTTTATACATTATGAGTACCACTACCTAAGTCAAATTGAGCCACATCTGAGGCAGCTCGGAGTCTCTCTGCCTCTCTCACCCTCCTAATGGATGCAGTCAACCCTCTATAACGCAGTGTCATAGTCATCGTCATCACCATAGTCAATATAATAGCGTTTCAATGGCGGTGGTTATTGATAACAATATAAAATAAAACATTTAAGGGGTCGTTTAATTCACTAAGTTGGAATGAAATGGTATGGATTCTAATACTTAGGTACTATGGATTCTATATCTCATACCAATCTAAAGTTGTTTGGTTTAATCATGGAATAGATCCTCATCCTTGAGTGGTAGACTGGTAGTATGGATTATGAATACTTGGGAGAAGGTGAGTATGAGATTCCAAAAGAATATGGTGGAGTTAGAATCCCCACGTATGAGATTCCATACTAAAATAGCCCAACCAAACAAATAAAACCAGAATCCATTCCAACCCATTCCAAGAAATTTAACCGAAAAGTCCCTTAATTAACTTCTTATTCAAATATATACTCAATCTAATTCATTTTCGAACTTTATTCAATTTCCTACCTAATAATATTCATGTCATGCCTAATAGATAAATTGAAACAAAGTACATTAAAATGTTCTTAATTAAGGAGTACAAATATTTAATTTCCTTTTGAATTATTAACATTCAAATTTTGGTTAATTTAACTCAATTCAACATCAAATAAAGATATTTTAACATACAACATTATTTACAAAGGAACATACCTAACAGTTACAATGTAACCATAACTCGAATACATAAAATTGAAAATAATTCCATCATTTAATTTGACAACCAAAAATAATCAGGCATACTTGCTTAAACATAATCATAATTCACTTGAATACCTTACTTAATCAAATATAAAACATACTCAATCAAACATATATTTAGAAAATAATTTACACCAATCAAAAAATTATTCAGTAAACTGCAAAAATTAAAATTTAGATCTAGGATTGCACCTTCGTCGCCGTTGGCTGTGGGCATGGACGTTTAGGTGAGACATGGGAGTACTCTCTCGCCGGTAACTTGCGCCGCCTCTTCGCCGCCGCCGTGAAGGAGTTCTCGCTGCCTCTCTTGTGAAAGATATAAAGTTGAGTTTGGAAAATTCAAATTCCACTTAAATGAGAATATGAGATACATATAGTACGTCGTATTTGGTTATTTTGGTGGATATAATTGAATTGGGATCCAATTGATATGGGTGAGTTATTCAAGTTGTGGGGCACTTTCCTTATGTTTTTTTTTTCCGAAAAAAAGTTTTGGGGCACTTTGTTGAGGCTATAAATTGAGTATTAAAATAATAAAAAATTTCTACGTAGTATGACACTATAACACTATAAACTAGTCCTTTTTGCTTTAAGTTTCTTCTCCAAAGCCGGTGATAAGAATTCGTAATGTTTTTCGAAAAATCTATATATAATCACCCTTTAAATCACTTAAAATTGATTTAATCACCGTTTTTTATTTACTTTAAATAGCCACCCCTTAAAGTTAAAAAAAAATTAGAAATTACCACCTCGTATCTAAAAGTTATCAATTTTCGTACCCCAATATTGATCTATTAAGATTTTGGGGTCACTTTGACCTTCTAATTTGAGGTAACACCCAAAAAAGTACCAGAGTACCTCAATTTAAAAGTTTCACCTAAATTGAGTTAATTTTTTACATGCAAATAGGGTTGATTATGATGCGAGTCAAACTTAAGTATCACTAAGCTCAACTCGATCTCGTTAGGCTTTACTCAAGCTCAACAACTCACGAGCTCGAAAAATCAAGCTCGACAACTCGCGAGCTTGAAAACTCAAGCTCGACAACTCGTGAGCTCGAAAACTCAAGCTTGAACTCGACTCGTTAGTTCAATAGTCAAGCTCAAACTCGAACTCGCAAGAAGCTCGATTAAAGCTCGACTCGTGGTCAATTTGAGCTCGTCTCAAGCTCGTTTAGAGTTCAACTTGAACTTAGTAGCATGTCCCAATATTAGGCCTATACTCAATGTCTAGTATAATATTGTGTTACTTTATAACATTTTTCACCCATCTTCTTTTCCAAAACTTCAATGTTGGAATGTGGGTTTGTACAGTACCCCCGGGTATATATAACAAATTCTAATAATCTTATAAAGCTTAATGCACTGTTAAATTTGTCTTTTTGAGGTGATAATTTACTTAGGTTTGGTTGTCAATTTTGTTGCTCACAATCATAATAATACGAGAAACTATACGTCCTTCGTTTTTCTTTTATTGTACCATAAGGATTTTTTACATTATACATTTTATTTTCTTTGACCATCATTTGTGATTAAAAATATAGTTATGTGGGATATAGTTAGATTCGTTTCCAAATCTATTTTTCAAATATCAATATATATATAAGTATAATTAAGTATATTAATAATTAAAGTAATGCATTGACAAGTCAATAACTTAAAATCCCTCATGGTGAAAGGAGGCATATTTGGAATTAGTCATTGGAAAGTGACTTAAGGCACTACTTTGTTGTAGTATTGATAATTGTAAAGTGTTCCAAAAACTATTACAAGTATTCCGCAATTGTCAACTTTTTGTGAAAAGGTTATTACTCATATATAGAAGTGACAATATTTGAAATTTAAATGTTTAGCTAAAAGGATGTATGTACCAAAGATTATAATATAATTGTTAGAGTATAAAATATATTTTTGAGTCTAATCATTTGGTTAAATTTTTTGGTTAAAGTTAAATATTAATTAATATAATCTATCATATCTCCTCACAAGAGAGTCTGTTGGACTATTGATGCTGCATGAGACTTCATTTGATCCTCCATTGAATTCCATTCTGCTCAACTTTCATATAACATGCATTTTACTTGGAAAAAGTCAACAAAAAAATTGGCTGAAGGTGCCCATGTACCTAACACACATACAATTGTCATTGTTATCTACTTTAATTCCTAAGTTTAATTACTCCCATCAAAATTATTTAAAAAAAAAAACCTTAGATTTTATTAGGAACTCGTAATAAATTAATAATAATTGGTTGAAAACTTGAAATGATAGGTGAATGTTATTTAATACCCTACAAGGATCAAACCCCATTCAAGATAGTCGGTCTAGAAATTTTCATTAAGCTTTCTACCAACGACTAATGAGTCTTACCCTAAAATATAATAATTTATTTTTTTTAATGATATGTTGACTTGTTTTGATTATGTGCCTTCTAACTGAAATAATGTTATTGGGAAAGCTTGTTTTTACATAAAGTGTAGGTTGCTTAAGATCTGGTATACTTACGACTCTTTAATTAATTTAGCCCTTATTCACGATTTATTGCATCACAATTCTTATTCGACTTCTTTTACGGAGCAATCTATCCATGACTTTATTAACATATTACATAAATAATGTTCATATCTCATCACAACAATATCTATCATTTCTCTATAATACATATATGTAATTACTTCCATTTCGATTTATTCACTTATATTATGGTTGTTTAATTACTTGTATTATGCAACTTGGGAATTAATAAAAATGGGAAATCATCATCAACAACAACATCAAAAAACAACAGCAAGTTCAGCGTCTAAATTTGTCTTTTTTGTAGTTGGTTTGTCTGTTGGAATTACATCCTGTTTTTACATCCTCAGTTTTTATTATGTTACAAATCAGAGTCAGTTATTAGCAATAGCATGCACAACATCAACATCCTCACAACATGTAACTCAGGCATTAGCATCTACACCATCGCCGTCTCCACCACCACCATCACCGCCTCCCCCTCCCCCTCCATCCCCGCCTCCACCACGCGAAGAGGAGGAGGAGGAGTCAGGGGAGAAACTGCTGCATTATATAGAGGATGATGCAGAGTTGTTATGGAGGGGGTCATTGGTGTCTCAGATACCGGAGTACCCATTTCAACGTGTTCCAAAGCTTGCGTTCTTGTTCTTGACAAGAGGTCCCCTGCCTTTAGCTCCTCTATGGGAGATGTTCTTTAAAGGACATGAAGATAGATTTTCTATTTACATTCATACTCATCCTAATTACACTGATCCTATGCCTAAGGATTCCGTCTTCCATGGTAGAAGGATTCCTAGCAAGGTATGTTAATTCTTTTATATCAATGATCAATCGATACAAATGTTACACTAATTTAATTTGATGCATGCAATGCATCTAAGGGGTGAGCATGGGATGGGTACCCGTACCGTAAGTATAAGCGATTCGGGTACCCGATAACCAAAATCTTTAAAAGTGATATCCATAACCGGAACCGATAAGTTCGGGTACCCGGGCTTTGGGTACCCGAATTTTTGGATCGGTTATTGGGTATCCTATAAGATAATGATAATTAAACTTAATTATGTAGTTATTATGATATAATTTACCACTAATTAACAACAATGTTATATAATTTTGACTAAATTATTAATAATATTACTAATCATTTATATTATAAAGTAATTATAAAGTAAAGTAAGAGTTTAGATTTAAAATAAATAGATTTAAGTAGGGAAGAAAAGCAAAAAAAATGTTTATCGGAACGAATCGGATGACCGTTAATTTTAAAATGATACCCAATAACCATACCCGATAACAAATTATCGAAACGGATACTTGAACCGTTGTGGTTATCGGATTTGGTACCCTAATTTTCAGAACGGTTACGGATCGATTTTTCGGGTTTTCGGGTAGTTTTGCTCAGCCCTATGCCATCTTCATCAAATATATATTCTAAAATGGTGCTTTATATACAATATGATTGGTTATTGATTAATATTATTACATACTTTTATCTTCTTCTTATAAGGATCCTAATATTATAAATGCGCACAGAGTGTAGAGTGGGCAAGCATATCAATGATCGATGCTGAAAGACGATTACTAGCATCAGCACTCCTAGACTACTCAAACGAAAAATTCATCCTCCTCTCAGAAGCCTGCATCCCCTTGTACAACTTCACAACAGTCTACGACTACCTACTGATCAAGAACACTAACCTCAGCTTCGTAGGAGTCGAACCTGACTTCAAAAAGTCGAGCCCTTACAGATGGAGAGGCAAAATGGATCCACCCCTCAAGAGATGGCAGTGGCAGAAGGGTGCTCAATGGGTTGTCATGGACCGAGTTTTATCCATAGACATCCTTTCGGACACCAAATATTACCCGGTTTTTCGAGATCATTGTAGTTCGCCTTGTCAGAATCAAGATGAACATTATGTTCAGATTTTGGTTATGCTTAATCATCCAGAACGCAACTCGAATTGGAGCTTGACTTGGACTGAATGGAAAGGCAACCGCCATCCTACCATGTTCGGATCAAGGTCTAATATTTCAGCAAAAATGATTCAAGAAATGAGGTTCAGGGATAATTGTACTATTGGTGGCGAATTTACTAACATGTGTTATCTTTTTGCTCGCAAATTTGCTCCTAATAGTATTAAGCTGTTGTTGGAGATTAGTTCTACATTGTTTGGGTGAATTATATTAATTAAGGTAAAGACTCTAAAGAGTAAGATAAGTGGTCTATTTTTTTTTATATTTTCCTAAATTGCAAAGTTTCTAGTTCATTTGTTTCGCAAAAATAAACTACATGGATCTGGTTCATTTGTTGACCAATACCATTATTTTTTCGGAATACAAATGCTACTCACAGCTCCTACAATCTGGAGAGAAAACTGAATTAATACTACTGAAAATTTTGAATATTTTTAAATGGTTGAAGACATGAAGTGTAAAATAATCAATGACAAGTTTCAACCAAAAAAAAAAACCACTAGCATCAACTTATGTGTGTTTTAGACGTATTGGATATCAATAATATCTGTTCACTATTAAAATTTGTTATACACTCGAGTGTGCCGTAGGGGTGAGCAAAAAATCAGGGTACCCTAAATTGGAACCGGAACCTGTTAGGAACCGCAGGTTCCGATTCCGGGTAGCAAACTGGAAAACCTGTTGTAACAGGTTCCGGTTCAGGTACTCAATTTTTTGGAATCGGAACTTGTAGAGTACCCTATACTTGATAAAAGTATCACTTAATTTCAAATTATACACTAATTCTTACTCAATTTTTAAATAATATATATCAAAATTACAATTATAAAAATATATATATTAATTTGTTAGACAACTACTATTAGTTTGTCTTATTTTCAAGATGCAAACATTATAAATTAGTGACCAACCAGTTTTTAATTAAAAAAATCCGCGAAAAAGTTAGAGAGTATAATATAATACAGGGTACCCTGAATCGGAATTCCGGTTCCGGTTCCCAATTTCCAAGAACCTGTTCAACAGGTTCCGGTTCCGGTTCCCATTTTGAGGAACCTATTGCAACAGGTTCCGGTTCCCGGTTCTTGGAATTTTTACAGGGTACCCTGTTATGCTCATCCCTAGTGTGTCGTACACCCAAGTAACCCAAGATTAGTGTTTATTCTTCATTTGATGATTAAATGAAAAAACAATCATCAAATGAGAACAAAACGCTCATCGTAGTACGATACACCCGGGTGTATATAACAAACTCCGTCCACTTTGGTCACTTTGATACATTTACAACCTTGACCTTGTTATGAAATAGGCATTAGGCAGTAGGAAATGTAATACTAATAGCATAGTTAGTTGGAGCACACCAAATGGTACAAATGTATAATAAACATGGACCTGCAGTTCAAGGCTGGCCAGTTTGTAGCTTAGTTTGGGCCAGTTCTGGACTGAACCCAATATATGGCCCACTGATCACCTTTGAGTCATTTCTTGATAAAAAAAAGTTTTTTATTTATCTTGATTAAATGTCTGAATTAAAATCTTGGAGTTTTATTGTTCTTCTCTTACAATTTTTGTAAAGTTCATCTCCTACTTTAGTTAATCACTTAATCTAAATAGAGTAGAATGCGGTGTTTCAACTACATATGAAATGTTCCTGATGCGGGTGTAAGTGAAATAAGATTAGTAACACGATAGACTAAACATCAACAAATCCCGGGTAATTTCCTACTCAGAGTTGCTTTATCTAAAGGCCTTATTCTGAACAGTTTGACAAAGTGAGCTTATACAGAATTCACTTACCAGAAAGTGTATTTTAAAGATCAAAAGAAAACCAAGAGTGGGGCCAAACTAAAGGTTTTCGCAAACACCCTAAAAACCTTACTTAGGGTCGGTTCTCTTCAGCTTATTTTCGATTCAGTTTCTCATTTCTTTCTCTTATAAAATATTCAGTTCAGTTCAGTTCAGTTTAACTCAATTTAGTAAATTAGAACAAGCCTTTAATTTAATTAGAAAGAAATGCATGATCCTCAGTTTATCAAATGTTTAAATTCAAGTTTATTCCCTATTTAAACTTGAATTATGCCATCAAGGGGCTAACTATTACGGTATGAATAGATCAAATGGTTACAAGTTCCCTAGGAGTGGCCGAGTGGGGAAGAAATTAAAACTTGAAAAGGTAGGTGAAACCCGCAAATAAAGACCATTAATATTCCTAATTTCTGATACCTTTTCCATATTTTATGCCTTACAAATAATTACATCTTTTTACCTCCTTAACACTAAAGGCTCCACCCTAAAGACACAACCTACCTGATAGCTTTTTCTAACAACCTAAATCCAAAACCCAACCTAGATTCGTCTTCGTATCTTCAAAAATCAGAGGTTGTAATAAGAAGATCTTCAAGGTGCACTAAGCACCACCTAAATAATGATCTACTTAGCAATTCATGGCTTAAGAAATTGTATAGAAACTATGCCACCTAATGTCGAAAGAGACACAAACAAATTAATTAAGCAGAAAACAAAAATTGAGGTATACGTAGTCGAATTAATTACTAGAAGCATCTAAGAGTTAGGTAAGGGTGTAATATAATTCCAACACAATTATTCAAAATCAAAATTGTAGGCCATATATTCTTTTATTGCAATTAGATGCATAAATGCATCGCACACTCATGTTGTAATGCAAGTTGGATGTTAGCTAAAATGGGGGTATAGTACTTGTACATACTTTCTAATTGCTTTACTTACCAACCCTATTTTTGTTAGTAAAATAATGATTCATAGATTTATATATAGTTTATTAGTTTTACCTACTAAACCATGATTTCAATTTAATCTTGGTAAGAAAGTAGCACGTGTATGATTAAGGATGATTAGAAAAATTATTTACAAAAAAAAAATTAATCTCTACTTATAATATCATATCACATCATATCATTACTAACATATAAAATCAGTCTCGCAGTGAGGACACAAGACATCGACACTTGACATTCCAGTTTTTCGTCAAGTGTCGCGCCACGTAGGAGATAAATATGTATTATTGCGACACATATGATGCTAAGTAAGTGATTTTTAGATAGACTTTTAAAGATAAAATTGTTGTATAGAGTTTTATTATAGATAGAATTCTAATATTTCATATATATAAAAATTAATCATAACTTTTTTTCTTCAAAAAAAAAAAATATAATCATAACTTTTAATAACTATCCTCTAACTCAATTCTATTTCCATCATCAAATTCGTTTAAAAAGTTGTTTAAAATAAGATCCATTTATAACATATTTAATTATAAACTTTTATACGTAGCTAGTCAAGTCGTGTCACCAACTATTACAAGAGTTACTTCGTTAGGGCTATATGGTTACTTGGTCAGTATTATAGTGGTTACTCGATAAGTGATATAGATAAGGGTTACTTAATTAGGTCCTGTTCACTTCACCTTTTAAAAAAAATAATATTAAATAAAAATAATTTCACTTCAGTAAAATTAATTTCAACTCAGTAAAAATAAGTTCAGTTCAGCAAAAATAATTTCAGTTTAGTAAAAATAATTTAAATTCAGCAAAAATAATTTCAACAGTAAAAATAATTTCAATTCAGCAAAAATAAGGTGAAATGAACGAGGCATTAGTTAGATTGTTAGAGGTTACTCAGTTAGTATTACAGGGGGTTACTTGGTTAGTTTTATAAGGGTTACTTTGTTCTGCCAGATGGTATGACTAGCCTGATAAAAAATGTATTGTTATTTAATTTATTTTTAAAAAATTATTAGAGAATTAGTAAAATTAATTTTATTTTGGTAAAAATACTTTATATTATCAAAATCGATTATATAATCGTATATAACATTCAAGCTAAAATGTTTAGAACAATCCGGGCATCATCCGGACACAAAACTATATCATACTCCCTCTGTTTTTTTTTTTTTTATTTGCATCACTTTGGATTGCTCAAAGTTTTAAGGTAGTAATATAATATTGTGAGTTGGTGAATAAATTATTATTGTAAGAGTAAGATGGGGACCGTGAAAGAGAAAGAATGTGAGAAAGGATATACACTTTTATTATTTTAGTGGAGACCGTGAAAAAGAGAGAAATGATAAAATAAGTTGATTGGGGTTTAAAGTAAGAGAGAGAAATGAAAAAATATAGTATAAAGTCACCAAATATATATAGAAGTGATGCATTTAAAAAAAACACTCATAAAAAGAAAGTGATGAAAAAAAAAGGAGGGAGTATCATATCAGTAATAAATAAAACCAGTCTCGCAGCCAGGCCACGAGACAACAACACTTGGCATTTCAGTTTTTTGCCAAGTGACACGCCACGTAGGCGACAAATAGATATTGTTGTAATTATATTAGATGCCACATTAGATTAGATTGGGTAAATTTGTGTAAGAAAAAAAAAGTATACATAGAATAATCTATAATTCTTTTGTAAAAAAAAAAACTATCTTTTATTGACAATAGAATTTTACTTATATCAACACACAACATATTATAATTAATTTGAATATCCAATTAACAATAGAATGTTACTACTATTTGAATAACCACGTAAATATAATTATAAATATGGTCATGTATCATTAATATTTTTTTATCTAACATTTGAATATATATATATATATATATATATATATATATATATATATAGTTATTATTATAAATATAATAACAATAATAATACAAAACATGCCCACAAATAAGTACACTATTTATAATGGTATCCAGGGCAACGCCCGATGCACGTACTGTTGTAAATATAGAAGAAATCTATAGTAATAGTATAAAGAAATAACAAGTACAAGGTCTCCATTAAGAAAAGTCGTTTTGACATCCATATGGTGAACCACTAATTCATGAATTGCCGCAAGGGCTACCAAGGTTCTAATGGTGGCTATCTTAGTCACGGGGGAATAGGTGTCAAAGAAATCTATACCTTCTTTTTGGGTGAAACCTTTAATGACAAGTCTAGCCTTGAACTTATCTATGGTCCCATCCAGTCTAAGTTTCTTTTTGAAAATCCACTTACAACTTATAGGCTTAGAACCCTTAGGCAAGTCACAAAGATCCCAAGTGTGATTGGACATGATAGAATCTAGTTCACTCTTAATGGCCTCTTTCCAAAAACTAGCATCTATGGACCTCATTGCCTCATAATAAGTCTTAGGGTCTTCTTCTAAAAGAAACAAAGACACAACATGCTCACTTAAAGAATCCACGTCAAAGTCTTCTACAAGAAAGGAAGTCAAGAAATCCGGTCCAAAGGAAGACTCTACTCTAGGTCTCTTACTTCTCCTAGGTTCAACTACTACCACTTTGGTAGAGGAAGAAGGGAGATTAGAACTAGGCATAGAATCAACTAAAGGCACATCCATACTTGACTTACTAGCATGCATGTCTAC